GGCTGTGGGTCCAGTACGGCTTCTCAAGGCGTCAGGGTAAAGTAGGCATGAGGTCACTAGGGCATTAGGGTATCAAGGTTTTGACGAAATCAGGGGTATCAGTGCATTGGGGCATGAAGGGCTCGCTTGCTGTGCCATGGGGCTTTCCCGGGCATGAGGGTTTCGGACTTTCACCCTAAACCCTAAACCCTGAACCCCAAAACCGTAAACCGTAAACCGTAAACCGTAAACCCTAAACCCTAAACCCTAAACCCTAAACCCTAAACCCTAAACCCTAAACCCTAAACCCTAAACCCTAAACCCTAAGCCTAAACCCCAAAGCCCCGGCGTCCTGTGAGTCTTCGCCCCCACCACACCCCCGCGGCTGTAAAATTGTAATTTCTGTGAGGGTTCTGAGGCCAAAGCTTAAGTCCCGAATGAAGACCCTCCACAAACACCAAAACCCGTTATAAACCCCAAGCCCTAAGCTGTGAACCCTGAAACCCTAAAACCCTAAAACCCTTAGACCCTTCTCCCCGAAACCCTGAACCCTAAACCCTAAACCCCAAGCCATAAGCCCTAAACCCTAAATCCTAAACCCTGAACCCTAAACCCTAAGCCATAAGCCCTAAGCCCCAATCTAACATCAACCCGAAGAGCTATAACCCTGAGGCCCTAAAAACCGAGCATCTATACCCTAAAGCCCTATGACTTGGGATGTTCCCCCCTATACTGCCAGTCCTTCTAGGGATCCCAGGTACCCCCTTCTATAATCCTATTCAGGAGTGTTGGAGTGTTAGTATACGGGCGAACATCCCAACCTTGAAGCCCCAAAGCGATAAAGCCCTAAACCTTGGAACCCCAAGACCCTAAAGCCCTCTAAACCATGAAGCCGCATGCCTTGAAACCCCCAAGACCCGGTAAGCCCTCAACCTGGAAACCCTATGGCCATGAAACCCCTAGACCCTAAACCCTAAACCCTAAACCCTAAACCCTAAACCCTAAACCCTAAACCCCGCAGCCCTGCGGTCAACTGGCTGGCCCTAGCATGCGCCTATGCATCCTGACACGTTTCTTGCGGATGGAAACCATGAGTCGCCCATCCTGTTCGGGGTTTGGGGTTTAGGGTTTAGGGTTTACGGTTCGAGGATTAGGTTTAGGGTTTAGGGTTTAGGGTTTAGGGTTTAGGGTTTAGGGTTTAGGGTTTAGGGTTTAGAGTTTAGGGTCTAGGGTCTAGGGTCTAGGGTCTAGGGTCTTTGGAGATCAAGGCCTTATGATTTAGGGTTCGGGCTGAGGGCTTAGGAGTCAGTCTTGGGGGTAGCCACAAGGGCCCTAAAACCCTCTAACCCTATGACCCTAAAGCCCTAAACCCTAAACCCTAAAACCCTAAACACTAAACCCTAAAACCCTCTAACCCTAAACCCTAAAACCCTAAACCCCTGAAACGCTTAACCCCGAAAAAAGAACTGACATCAGACGGAATGGAGCTCGGTAGCGCCCAAGCCCTCCCCCCCCCCCAACAAAAACACGCAAAAAAAAAAAAAAAACAATACAATAATAACTCCAATAATTGAAAAAGTTATTGAACTTACTTAAACTACAGTACACGAATCAATAGGAGAGTAACTAGTTTGTATACTCCAGAACTTGTACTCATAACACATAACAATGATGATCTTATTAACAATCATCTTAGTCAAAACACAAAACAAAAAAAAACAAAAAAAAAAAAAAAAAAAAAAAAAAAAAAAAAAAGGTACTTCGGTCCTCCACCGCAAGGTTAATGCTGGAGTCCTGCCCGCTTTTGTTTGGACCCTAAACCCTAAACCTGAAGCCCTAAAGTCTAAACCCTTAACCTTACACCCTAAACCAGAAAACCCTAAACCCTAAACCCTAAAACCCTACCCTAACCCTAAACCCTAAACCCTAAACCCTAAACCCTACAGGGCTGAAAGGAGACTCGCCGCAGGATTTTTGTCGTCAGTGCACTCTGGGGGTGGGAATAGTTACCAATGGCGTTCCCTTATGGTCCCTCCAGGAAAACCCCAAAACCCTATTCTAAGGCCCCTACACTACTCTCTTCTGGGGGTGGGAACTCCAGGGATACTGGGCAAAAGACCCTCCGCAGGACTCTCATACTTAGAGGTTCCTGGTACCTATTAACCAATTCTAACTGAACTTATAACTGTCCTTACAACCATATTGGGGCACCCTGAACCCTAAACCCTAAACCCTAAACCCTAAATTATAGGTGGGCTGTAAGTACCGGCATATTTGGTTAAGAGGTACCATGAACCTCCGAGGGACACAGGCCGGGTGAGGAGCCTGGGCATGGAGAATGGTTGACGTATAATCTCACGCAGGGAATAGAATAGAAACAGATGAACAAACCCTTAAGCCCCATGCTCTAACCCTAAACCCTAAACCCGAAACCCGAAGCACCCCAAAGCCTGCTCCAAGTTCGTCAACAAAGCGGGGAGTGGTCTCGACTCGGCTTTGAGTGGCTCCATGCACGCCTCGTACTGGCTGGGGGGGGGGGGGGTGTACCCTTGTCTTGGGCTTAGGGCTGAGGGTTTAGGTTCAGGGTTCAGGGTTTAGGGTTTAGGGTTTAGGGTTTAGGGTTTAGGGTTTAGGTTTTTTGGGCTTCGCAATTTCGCGTGCGTGATTGCAGTTGTGGTGCTTCCATTCAGGGTTTCATGAAGGACGGCTACAGGTGGCTAGCTGCTGCTTCCACGAACATCTTAAGAACCGTATGGTCTGATTCTTCATACTTAAGCCTCTGATCATACTTTCGTCAGGGGAGTTGTTCAAGGGTTCTTTTAGTCGAGTGGGCTTGGGGAGTTGGGGAGTAGGGAAGGTGGGGTTTCGTCGTTGGGGCGCAGTTTGCTCGATGCTGCCCTAGTTGCAGGATTTGGGCTGAGGGTGGGTTTTCGGGGTACCGGTGGTAAGCCCCCCAGCACTATGAGCCACCCCAAACTCAAGCCTAATCCGCAGTAGCACTTGGAGACAGGACCGACATAGACTCGGGATGAAGGTCGCCAGCAGCCCCTCAGGGGCACCAGTATGGCCTAGCAACAGTCATCTTATGAATGGCAGTCTAGGCAATCATCTTGCAGATTTAGCAACTTTGAGCCCCTACACCCTGAACTCTGAAACCCTACACCCTACCACCCTAGGGTTTAGGGTTTAGGGTTTGGGGTTTAGGGTTTAGGGTTTAGGGTTTAGGGTTTAGGGTTTAGGGTTTAGGGTTTAGGGTTTAGGGTTTAGGGTTTAGGGTTTAGGCCTTAAAGGCTGAGCTACCGAACCCCACCCTTAGCCCGGCGCATCCTGGACGTTGGCAAAGGATGCGGAAACGCCATCCCCTTCTCCTGGGATCCTGGATGTTAGGGGTTAGGGTTTAGGGTTTAGGGTTTAGGGTTTAGGGTTTAGGGTTTAGGGTTTAGGGTTTAGGGTTTAGGGTTTAGGGTTCTCCGGGCCTAAAAAAAGGGGTTTTACGATAGTCAGGGACCCCGAATATATACCCCGAAATAATAGGATCCCCTTTTTAATGAGGACTCCAACAAGCTCCGAATATCGTAAACCCCCCAATCCCGAAAAGCACCTCAATTTCAACGCCTAAACCCATCAACCCCTCAACCGCAAAAGCCGAGGGGATGGAGGGCTTCGGGCTTTGGGCTTAGGGCTTTTGGCTTAGGGCTGCTTAGGGCTTAGGGCTTAGGCCTTGGGGCTCAGGGCTGAGGGTTCAGGGCTGAGGGCCCAACATCTTAGCGACTTCGATTGAGCGCCACTTGCCCCAGCGAAACCACACAGCGGGGTTTGTTGGGCACATGCTGCTGTTGGGACTAAAGGGTCGTCAGCAGCTGGACCCTCGACCCCCCTCGCATAACCCCAAACACCTGAACCACAAAATAGGGTTTTTGGCCGGCGGGGTCAGGTTTAGGTTTTTCAGCCACTACACCCAAAAAAAACACCCTCAAACACCAAAGCCTCAACCCCGGCCCCTGCACCAGCGATAAGTAAAGGCACTGTGGCCGGTCGGCAGATCCAGTGCAGCCCATGGCGATCAAAACTGGGAAGCTGCCAGGCTTGTCGCAACTCTGCATAGGCTGGGGAGGGGAGTCTCGAGCCATTTTTGCAGTCGTTCTTGGAGTTTCGGCTTTTGGGTGCATTTTGGGTGGGCGGTTGGGGCGCAGGGTTTGCTTGCGGGAGGGCCCCGAAGAACCCGACAGGCTCATGCGGGGGTAATTTAGGGCGACGAAACCAGACTTTGGGGGGGGGGGGGGGGATAAAGGGAAACTCAGGGTTCTGGGGTTTTGTTTGTGGGTTTAGGGCTTAGGGCTTGGGTCATTTCGTGTTAAAGTAGGGTTTGAGGGCTCATGACCCTCAAACCCCAACACACCAGACAAAACAGGTGCACGTGGCCTTTTGGCGTGTGTCCTCCGAGTCTTTGCGGCATTTTCACAGTCTCCTTGGGGCACATCCCAGCAGCACGGCGTAGAAGATCTTGAGAGTTTCGGAGCTTAGGGTGTAGGGTTCGGGGTTTAGGGTTTAGGGTTGAGGATTGAGGGTTGAGGGTCGCGGGTTTCACTTCAGCGAAGCCGGCCGTGTTGCAGGGAAGGGCTGCCTTAGTCACAAGCATCGTTGCAACCATGGGCCGGCCCCAGACGTGCACGGAACATGCGGAACTGCAGCTGACACCAGCATCCGTGGGCCAGGTGAATTTCTCCAGAGCCTTCCTACCAATTGCTTAAGAACCCCCCACCCCAAAATAAAGTACAAAAACAATTTACCCTATAAGGGGAATATAGGGAGTATTACCTTTTTGGGGGTTCTTAAGCAAATAGTAGCTTCTGCCCCTGGAGCTTGTAACACAAAATCATGCGGGAGAGGCTCCAGGCCAAAAGCTCAAAGCAGCTCCTCTGTACTGGAGCGGCACAAGACCCCCTTGTCACTCAACCTCTTGGTTGCAAAGGTTCGTCCGCCGCCCACAAGACACATCTGTACTGTGCTGGAGCAGCTTTTCATAGACCACACATGCCGAAGAGATTGCAGGTCGGTGTCTTGGCCTGGGACGGAATGGCTCAAAAAACTGTCAAGCTCTAAGCCGCACACGAACAAACACGGAACCTGCACCAGGACTTGCTTCTGCACTCCTTCACAGGCAAGGCTTATCGTAGAGGCCTTGCAAACAAGACCCTCAACCCTATATTCCACATGCATAGGGCTCAGGGGGGAGAGTGGAGGTTGGGCGTAAACCCTAAACCCTAAACCCCAAACCCTGTGAAGAAAGAGGGGGAGGGGGCGACTGGGTTTCGGGCTTAGGGTTTGCAGCTTGGGTCCCCAAAAGGCCCAGAAATCCTAAGCACGATTTCAGAGGGCCTGCAACCGCCTGCAATCCTAAAACACCCAAGGAGGTGGGTTTAGGGTTTGGGGTTTGGGGTTTGGGGTTTGGGGTTTGGGGTTTGGGGTTTGGGGTTTAGGGTTTAGGGTTTAGGGTTGAGGGTTGAGGGTTGAGGGTTTACGGTGGCAGGCGAACTCGGAAGCCCCAAACTCGCACATGTGAGGCCTCACCCGGCAAGGCTGCATCCGTCACGGCGACCTCCAACGCGATGCCCTAAACCCTCCCTAAACCCTACACCCTAAACCCGAAACCCTAAACCCTAAACCTAAACCCTAAACCCTAAACCCTATTCGAAGCACAGCAGCAATTAGAAGGCAGAATGGTCTTACAACGAGGCTTCAAAAGATGAAGGAAATGGGTAGTCTACAAACTACGTTGGCACAAAATATGGAAGGCATGTACCGCAAGCAATTTCATGCCCATCCGTGACCACGGAAACGATGTCTGCTAGGAGGCAGTACCCTAAACAGAGCTCTGCCTGCCGAAATGGCGAGAGGGCCAGAAATCCGTCTGCCAACCTTACTGGTTCCATCCTAAAAGTCTCTAATACTCGTACAGGAATCCGTCCGCCCTGGACAGGTAGACCAGTCATTCTCCACCTCCTTCCTACTTAAACCAACCCTTCACCCCTAAACCCTAAACCCTACCAAGCCCTGACGTAAGCCACCGAACAAGACCCCAAACCCTAAACCCTAAACCCTCAACCCTAAACCCTCAACCCTAGACCCTAGACCCTAAACCCTAAACCCTCAACCCTAAACCCTAAACCCTAAACGTCGTGGCCTCAGCCTTGAACTCCTTGAGCTCCTCCTTGACTTTCTCGGTGACGCCGGCCACCTCCGCCTTCAGCTCCTCCTTCAGCTCCTCGGGTTTAGGGTTTAGGGTTTAGGGTTTGGGGTTTGGGGTTTAGGGTTTGGGGTTTAGGGTTTAGGGTTTAGGGTTTAGGGTTTCGGGTTTAGGGTTTAGGGTTTAGGGTTTAGGGTAGCTCCTCCTTCACCTCCTCTTCCTTGGCCACCTGACCGAGAGAAGGGCCCAAGCACCCGCGGCGGTCGGTCCACCTCAACCCTGAACCCTCAACCCTAAACCCTAAACCCTAAACCCTAAACCCTAAACCCTAAACCCTAAACCCTAAACCCTAAACCCTAAACCCTAAACCCTCAACCCTGACATGAGGATCTCGGGCTTCGGGTTTTGGGGGGGGGAGTCCTTTCCGACTGCAAGGGCTGCGGGTTTCGGAGCTCGGGAGGTTGAAGGGGTTTTGAGGGTTTAGAGTTCGGGCTTAGGGTTTAGGGGGTTTTCAGTTTAAGGTTTAGGGTTTAGGGTTTAGGGGCCCCAAAAACCCTCAAACCCTTCCTGTAAGGGTCTGGTGTACCGGCCTCTTCCTTGATGTCCTCCTTCGCCGCCTCCGCAGCCTCCGCCACGGCTGCCACCACGGCGTCCATCTTGGCCTCCGGAGCCTGCGGTTTAGGGTTTAGCGTTGAGGGTTGAGGGTTTAGGGTTGAGGGTTTAGGGTTGAGGGTTTAGGTTTTAGTTTGATCCTTGGCCTCCTCCTTCACCTGGGGAAAACCGTGCGCGAAACTAGGAGTTCCCGCCTGAACGTTGAATCCAGTATTGAACATCCTGAAGCCCAATCCTACAACGAGGTTATTATAGGGTCCAGGGTTCGGCCTAAGGCTTACCCCACACCCTAACCCTAAACCGTGGAACCTAAACCCTAAACCCTAAACCCTGGGACCTAAACCCTAACCCTGGAACCTAAACCCTAAACCCCCGATTCACCTCCTCCTTCACCTCCTCCTTCGCCTCCTTCACCTCCTCCTTCACCTGCGGCTCCTTGGCAGGGATACTTGGAACTAGGGCCCGAGGACCCGCAACCGGGCGCCCAGACTTTGAGGTTGAGGGTTTAGAGGATTTAGGGTTTCGGGTTCTCAGGGTTTCAGATAGGGCTTCGGGTCGTTTGGTGGTTTAGAGCTCGGGGTCTCAGACGAAGCAACTACTACTGGTCCGGCGCGCCTCTGAGGTTCAGGGTTTCATGGTTTAGGGCTTAGGGCTATTTAGGGTTGGCCTAGGGTTTTGGGCTCAGGGTTTTAGGGCTTATGGGGTTAGGGCTTTAGGGTTTGTAAAGTTTACAGCTTAGGGGTTTCGGGTTTCAAGTAGGGATTTGAGGCTTGAAGGGTTTAGCGTTTCAAGGGCAACCGGGCCCTGTGTGCTAAAGTACTAAAGGCCTATCTGGTTCCCCTCGTATTTCCCCACCCTCGGTGTGGGGCTGTTGGATTTTAAACTCAACTCTTCTTTTCGCCCGTAGGGCGTCTCAATTCTGGGGCCCTGTTGGGTCCAACTTGTGTACCTAACCCTAAACCCTAAACCCTAAACCCTAAACCCTAAACCCTAAACCCTAAACCCTAAACCCTAAACCCTAAACCCTAAACCCTTGCGGCGCCAAAGAACTAAGGGCAGCTCGGGGAAGGGAGTTCCCCTGCTTGTAAGGGGTACGTTACAAGGGCACCCAGGGTTACATAAACGAGTTATGGTCAGCAGTCACCTGACATGGGCTCTTTAGGGTTTAGGGTTTAGGGTTTAGGGTTTAGGGTTTAGGGTTTAGGGTTTAGGGTTTAGGGTTTAGGGTTTAGGGTTTAGGGTTTAGGGTTTAGGGTTTAGGGTTTAGGGTTTAGGGTTTAGGGTTGCAGGGTTGAGGGTTAAGGGTTTCGGGTTTCGGGTTTGGGGTTTGGGGTTTGGGGTTTAGGGTTTGGGGTCGACTCCATTCTACCCGAGGCTGCAACCCCCCAAACCCTTTGGAGAGTTGAGATGTGGGGGGCTTTTGGTTCCCCAGCCTCCACAGCGGGTGCCTCCACTGCTGGCGCAGCTTCCTCGCTCGGTCTTCACCCTAGGCCCTGAAGAAACTCCGAGACCTTGGAGCCTACACCCTAAACCCCAAACCCGAAACCCTGAACACCTCCTAAACCACAAACACCTCCTAAACTAAACCCAAACACTAAACACTACAAGACCCTAACCCTAAACGCCTAAACTCCACCAAAACCTTGACCTTTAAACTCCAAAACCACACACCAGAAAAAAACTACTTGAAGGTGCATAGGTAGTGAAGCGCAGGGTTAAGTACACCAAATACTAAACCCTAAACCCGAACCCCCACTTTACAACCCCTCAGGTGCACCCTAAACCCCTAAACTCACACCTTAATTGTCAACCCTAACTCCTAAACCCGAAACCTCAAGCCAAAGCCCTAAACTCCTAAACCCCTAAACTCCTAAACTCCTAACCCTGATAATGACACCTATCAGCATTGCTAGCCCTATATGCCATGCAGTATACTCTTGCCCTACATGCCCCAAATCCCAACATGCTCCATAATCCTAAAGCCTGAACCCTGAAATCACAAACCTAAACCCGAATACCCCCTGAACGAAACTCACGGGCCCAGACCATAAACCCCAAAATGTCTACACCCTTACACTCCCTCTAAACCCGAAGCCCTAAATTCCTAAATCCTAGGCCCTAAACCTCTAAACCCCAAGGCCCTAGACGCCAAACTTCAAAGCTCGAAACCCCAAACCCCCAACTGCCATAAACTTCTAAACCCTACTGGCTCTTTCCTCCAAGCGGGTGTCAAAGCGCAAACCGAACATGCCAGTTCCATCGCTATTTACGAGGCTTTGGACAGATGACATGCCAAATCGATCGCAATTTAACCTGTTTTCAACATGTGAATTCCGGTTTTCCCGATGCATCGATGGACTCGGTGCTTACAATGCTTGGACAGATGACTTGCCGGAAACATCGCATTACGTCCGATACCAGTGCATACATTGACCAAAGCATCCATGCCTCCTCGCATATTGATTAATTACCATGCTTCCAGTGAGTGCGAATGGCCAGCGCATCCATGTTCGCAAGATGGTTGCGTCCGTGTCTGAAAGGCCGTTTTGTTTGTGCCCGCCGCGTGGAACTTTCAGCGCAAGTTCGAAAAACAGCCTCGTTGCAAGCAGCTACTCTGTCCACCAACTGCGCGCGAAGCTTTCAGCGAAAAAAACAAGCATGTTTGCGCGCAGTTCCTGTGTGCATCGAGAGGCGTTTGTGTCTCTATTTACAGTGCTGTTCCCTCTGGCCCAACATGCAAGCACGCTAACACCCGTCTGCAGTGTTCTTACTTACTGGGAAATGAGGGAATTAAGTACCCAATAACCCCCTATATACACCCTTTAAGGAAGTTTATAGGGTACCTCGTTCCCACGTCCAATCCCCAAACCCTAACCCTAAACCCTAAACCCTAAACCCTAACCCTTCACCCTAAACCCTAAACCCTGAACCCCAAACCCTAAACCCTAAACCCTAAACCCTAAACCCTTACGTCGGCTGGGCCTTGGCCTCGGAAGGCAGCGCAGGGACCACGGACTCAGCCTTCTCCTCCAGTCTTTGAGGTCTTTTCGGGGTTTAGGGTTTAGGGTTTAGGGTTTAGGGTTTAGGGTTTAGGGTTTAGGGTTTAGGGTTTAGGGCTAAGGGTTTAGGGCTTAGGGCTTAGGGTTCAGAGTTTAGGGTTTCAGGGAACCCAGTCCAATGAGAAAGAAACATGGGGCCGCTCCGGGTCCTCCTAAAATGGGTTTAAGGGGTAGAGGTTGAAGGGTTTAGGGGTGTAGCAGGGGCTTTAGCTTAGTGTTTAGCATGTAGGGCTTAGGGCTTTAGAGGCCGGTAGGTGAGTCCAAGGGCTTAGGGGTTCAGGGTTTAAGGGTTTTTGGGTTTAGGGTTTCGGGTTTAGGGTTTAGGGTTTATCTGAGGCTGTTGTAGGCTGCAGTCTCACTATGGATGCAACGAACCGGCATCCGAAGAAAGTCTTGAAGTCCAACAAGCAGAACAAAAGATGTGTGTTCTAAAAAATGTTCCTCTCTGCTGCCCCATCACTCCACCTGCCTCTTCGCCTGTCGCCTGCCCCATGGGCTGCTGGGCTCTTCCAAAGAACCAGAGGCACCACTGCCAGAGCCACCAGCATCACCAGTGGCATCTCCAATACCCGAGCTGCCAGCTCCAGAGCCCTTGTGCCCATGCCAGTGGCAGCCCCCGTGCCCTTGCTCGAAGTAGTGGCAGCTCCAGCGCCCTTGCCCTTGCCAGCAGTGGCATCGTGCTTAAAGGGGTTTTACAAGGGAACCTAAACCCACAACAAGGCAATAAGGGTACCACTGGGCATCTAAGCCTTTACTTCTGAAGGCGGCACAACATGTGATGCAGGGCTGCGAAGGTAGCTTCGGGGGCTCAGGGCCTCTCGTGTTCTCTTGGGGACTTAGGGGGTTTAGGGCACTCAAACCCTGCAATCATCCAAAGAAGCTGTGAGGTTCAAGGGTTTTTTAAAGCCTGGGCTGCCATCAAAAACATCTTACTTGAATAAACGAACATGCCATGGCTTAGAGGCTTCAGGGCCGAGGACATGTTCTCCTTCATAACTTATGAGGCTTTCGGGCACAACCGGCCCTTAAACCCTAAACCCTAAACCCCAAAACCCTAAGCCCTAACCCTAAACCCTAAACCCTAAACCCTAAACCCTAAACCCTAAACCCTAAACCCTGAACCCTGAACCCTGAACCCTGAACCCTGAACCCGAGACACGACCCGAGCCTGCGCAGAGGGAGAGGCATCCTGGCAAGCTCTTAAAAACGTTCAGGAGCCCTGAAGCCCTTGAGCTCTCTGCCCGCGAACTCTAGGGTTTAGGGTTTTAGGGTTTAGGGTTTAGGGTTTAGGGTTTAGGGTTTAGGGTTTAGGGTTCAGGGTTCAGGGTTCAGGGTTCAGGGTTCAGGGTTCAGGGTTCCCCAACTCTCAACTTCCCCCCTCTTCTCAAGCCACCCCCAACGTTCTTGATAACCGGTGCCATCATGAAGAAATCGGAGAAGAGTCAGCATTCTTCCAAAACCCTCAAATCCTAAACCTCGAGGTTGATCAAACCCTGAACCCTGAACCCTGAACCCTCGACCCTAAACCCTCGACCCTAAAGCCTAAACCCTAAACCCTCAACTCAACCCCAAACCCTAAACCCCAAACCCCGAAGCCCAAGGCCGGGTGAGGGGGACCCTAAACCTGTAAAAGCCCCTTCCAGGCGATCGTCGTCGAGCCTCACAACCGGCGGCGCTTTTGGGCCCAAGGGAAGGCTGCGGTTTGTAAACCCCTTGGGTCACCAGAGTCAGGATTTCAAGCAGAAGTTCTTCACACGAAAGGCAACAGCTGACACCGACCTTTATGTACATGCACAGTCAGCAGACTTTCGTAGAATCACAAATCTTTCGCATGGACAGCTTGTTTGTTGGAAAAAAGAACGGAAGCTCCGCTATTCGTTGCATGCAGCCATGGATTCCGCTGCATCCGATGCCACTCAAGAGCATCAACAGGTTATGACCGCCCAAGCTGAGACTGCTGCGCAGGTGGTGAATGGTGTCCAGAACCAACCTGGACCCTCGAATGAGCCCACAACAAGGGGCTCGGCTGGTGGATCTGGAGTAGTTGCAGGCTACAGAGGTGAGCTGCTTGGGGAGGTGATGGCTCCTGGATCAGGGGCAGCTCATGGGGAGTCTATAGCTTCGCGAGGTGCGCTGTTGGTGGAGCCCACCGAATCTGGCGAGTTGCAGGGGGAGCAACTAAGTGCTCCGACGACGACTGGTCTGGACGGATGGCAGGACTATGGCGAGACATCTGGGCGAGGCAGTGCAGATTATCTCCAGATGGGATCCGTGACTCCGAGGTCACGGAATGGGCATTCGTTTTCTCTTCCGGCAGGGCAGAACTGGTTGGGAGGACTAGAGATGCCGAGATGGGTTGCCAGGCTGGGCAGCTATTTAAGTGTGGGGCATGGCGATATGGTTCCAAGCCCTATGGCAGGGAGTACCGGAACATCTACACCGGGTGGTCCAACGTTCATGTTGAGGTCGCCAGGGAGACCAATGAGTGTGAGGCCACCTACACCGCCAAGCTCCTCGGATTTTCCCAGCGAGGCGGTTCAGGCCGAGGTCCAGCGACAGCTTGGAGGGATTCTCTCTAGATTGCAGGTGGCGGAGGAGCAAAACATGGCGCTTCGTCAGCAGCTTGAGGAGGAGAGGGAGAACCTTCGTCATGTGAAGCGGGCCAAGGCGACTGCAGCGACTCAACAGGAGTTGCCTCTTAGTGGACCACCTCGAGGAGATCTACCACCGCGACCAGAAGTACCTGAGCGCCCTGGAGGACTGCTGAGTGATCTTGCTTCAGCTCATCTGGGACCTGCTGATCTTTGGGGTAGCGGGAAGTGTGAGCACGGGTCCGAGCCTCAAGGGCCTAGTGTGGAGCCTCAAGGTGATCACCAATCCACTCGGAGTAGACCTACCTCAACCATGCCAGCACCGCCTCCTATGCCACCACCAAGGACCATGGAGCAGGAGGAGCCTAGGGGTTTTCTTCGCTCTTGGTTGACAAGGCCTCGGAGCGAATCTCCCCCGCCACGACCTGATCATCCCAGAGACTCTCCTGCAATCGAGGCGCTCACGAAGGGAATTGCTCAACTGCAGGAACTCCAGGCCCAAGCCCTTCAGAAGTCGTCTGGAAATGGAGCGGAGGTGATCAAGCCAGGCACGTCAACCCTGAGTCCACTGCCAACAGTCAAGAGTGGTGCTGAAGTGGCGCTACAGTTTCAGGATTGGGTGGAGGTCACGGCTGCGGTGATGTACGACATCAGCGAGCAGAGTGGAACGTGGTGGAGGGCAGTGCTGGGAGTTGTGGACAGGGCTTACAAGGCATGGTTGTCTTCTACACCCTTGGAGAGATTGACGGTTCAGCCTCGTGGAGGGGAAGAACTAGCGACCGGAAAATGGACCAGATTGAATGCAAGGGTGACGGCAATGCTCCTGGCAGCCATGTCTGAGGAGCAGAAGATGGACATGATTGCCAATCGAATATCCACCAGCTCAGTGGATATGCTCTTCCGGCTCTACACTACCTACCAACCTGGGGGGAGCCTGGAAAGACAGGATGTCCTCAAGCGCCTCCAGAGTCCCATGGACTACGTGGACAAGGACACCATACAGGAAGTTCTTCGTGTGGTTCGGAGCTGGCCAAGGTGGATGGCAAGATGTGAGACACTAGGGATGGCAGCCCCGGACCCTTCTGTTTTAGCTCGTGGTCTGAAGCTTCTCACTGCCAAGTACATCGACTCCAACCCGGACTCGGCCTTCAGGACGGCTATGCTTCGTACGACTCTTCGTCTTGATGGGCAACCCGGTGAAGAGCAGGTGAGGGCGTACCAGAAGCATTTGCAAGCAGAGTTGGAGAATGTGGTGGCGAGCTGTCCTTCAGGATCAACAACAGCTGAGGGGCTACATCCTAGACTACAAGCACTGGACCGAGGTGAGCCAAGGACTGCACCCACCAGCAAGTCGCCTGAGAAGGACAAGGAGAAGGGTGGCAAAACAGACATGTGTCGCTACTTCATGAAGCCTTCTGGGTGTCGGAGAGGATCCCGCTGCAACTTCAGTCACAACATGGCTCACCTTGATCGTGAAGTACGAAAAAAGAAGTGTTTGAGCTGTGGATCTGAGTCCCACAGACAGAAGGACTGTGGAGTTGGGAAGAGTGGACCACGGCCTCCTCATGGACCGACCGGCTCTGAGGCAAGTGGTGGAGG